CTGTTTCTACAGGCGGATCTCCCGGATCCATCTTCGGTCCACATCACACTGTAAAGAGACGAGCTCGCTTTCCTTTGCCGCACAAAGAAGCTTGAGGGATTTCTCCCTATCCAGAGCCTCCCTCAATGGGGCCTCGCAACTAAGCAGCTCAGATTTAAGCCTGTCGAAAGCCTATGAAAGAAAGCCAGATAAAGAAAAAGAAGAGGGGAAAAGGAAAAGCACGGGACTAGAACAATCTTACAGTAGTCAAAACTCACCATGAGGCCAAAACGCTGAGCCTCGCCGAATGCTGAAGCAACTTCCGATGGCGTACCACTTTCAGAAGGTTGCCAATCGACCGAGTCACTTCTCCTTAACTGCTGCGAAGGAGTCGCCTCACTGCAAGCCTTTTCGTACCCCGGAACATCTTTCCTTTTATCGGCACTCCTTTATCCCGAGGCCAGCAATCTCTCCTCCTCCTCCGGGGGGGCACGACCTCGCTTTGAAAGGACTCCTGGCACATGCGATACTTAAATCAAATAAACCGACAAGAAAGGCGCCATTTTTTAGGAGGTAGAGCGCCGGGAACCTACCATAATGCTTCGCCTCCCATCTCCCTTTTGACAGATCTTGCCACCGGTGCCTATCATAAATCGAGCAACCTGCCAGCTTACGAGACCTCGCTGGGCGGCCAATGAATTGCTACAAATAAAGAATAGAAAGATATCGTTACAGAGCCAACCTCCTGTTGAAACGAAGGCAGTTCATATAAGGCACTTACGTGTGAAGTTCCATTTCTCAGGAAATGGCAAAAATTCTCCAGGAATGACGCCGGTCGTTTGGATCCGAACGAACTGATTCATCCATCCCCGACCCTTGTCCTCCTCGCTGTTGACTACAGGAGCTCGGGTGGATCGATGCTAAAGAGCAATCAGGCCTCGGTAGCGGGGGTAGCGCAATGGCTGTATACAACCTCACGAGATGGTTGAGGGTAAACTCTATCCCGGCCTTGTCGACAAAATATCTCATCGCCTGCACTATTCTCCAAAGGGAGGGATGAACCTGCACCAGCGTTACTTGATATCTACGACAGAAATCAAGCACGACCTGGTCGGGGGAACCGACACGAAAACATGAGTATATACGCTCAAAAATCCCTCAACATATATCATAACGCTCTCATCAGGGGAAGGTACTTGCAAAATCATGCCTTCCCCCCATTCACAATCTTTTCTGATCATCTCAAGGTTTTCCTCCCCCGCTGATGAAATGATCCTCGACACATGCTCCCGATGTCCCGGAACATTGGGAGGTTTCCCCGGCATGACAACTCTCCTCGAGGCAGGGCATCCCGAGCCTCGCTCTCCTAACATCGGAGGCGAGCCGCTAGCACCAATCGAATGCAGAACGCAGGAGAGACTCCCCTCCACCCGATGATAGGACGTCGAAGTAGCAGCCATGACAAACTGGGGGGGGAGTAAGGATCTGAGCAAAAATTTTCTGAAATATGGAAGCGGAAGGACTAGCACAAAGCGTCAGGCTCTGCAGAAGAGACAACCTTTTCAAAAACAACAAATTCGTAACTTGAGAGACAAATGAAAAAATATATAGGGGAAAAGCAACAACTGCCTGCCTACCAAAGAGGGACAATTAATTCTGGCCGCGTTAACGTCACCTTCTCCTAGGGAAGCGTACTGGCAAAATCACCCCAGCTCCCACGTAACTCAAAAAACTGCGGGACCTTGGGGAGCCCTCCGACGTCACGAGCATCAGTCCGAGAGGAGCTGTCAAGTTAACCCCGGGACATGGCTAGTTTCAGGGTCCCAGTTGATCCGAGAGCAGGCCGCGAAGGGCCGACGCCGAGAGGCAAAAGCTAAAACGCAAAAGCAAAGGGGCAAGGAGAAGGGCTGACAAAATGAAAACCCCCTTTTTACATTGTTAAAAGAAAAACATCTTTACATGATCCAATCCCCCAGGGGCCGCATACAAGGGGAAAGGGAAGGGATACAAAAATGACTCGGAGACTACTCCTCACCGCTATTATCTTCGCCCTCATCGAGGGAAACTAAAAGCTCCAGTTCTTCCTCCACTTCACGGACCTTCTTGAGATCGGCTAACAGGTCGATACCTCTGGCTCCGATTTCCTCTAGGGTCTTTCTCCTTGCCTCCGCCTTAGCATGCTTAATAACTCAGGTTAGTTTCTGCTCAGCTGCTATTGATATGTCACGAGCTATTCTATGCGCTGTGGACGCATCCTCCTGATAAGTAACAACGTTTTGTTCAACCTCAGACTTAGCCACGGCCAAGGTAGCAATCTCTTTGCGAGCATCCTTGAGAAGATCCCGGGATGTCGCCAACTCCCCGACTGCTATTTCATTTCGCTCCCTCACCCCGAAAATCTCCGTATTTAGTTGATTAATCTATGAGCCACTCTGCTTGACCTACATAAGAAAGGTAAGCCAATATATATGTGAATACGGAATAAAAAGTTGGGCATGAGCAAGGCAAAGCACCTGAGCAGCAAGATTGGCCTTCTCCCGGAGCGCCGTTTCCAAAGCTGCCCGAAGTTCTCTCAGTTCTTTCCCTCCCCGGGCAGAGCGAGCCTTCGAATCCTGTAGCTTCAAAGAAACTTTCTTACACTCATTTTCATGATAAGAAAGCTCCCCGTGGAGCCGAAGGATGACATGATCTTACATCTCCTTGCACTACGGCATAACGAAAAAGTTAGAAAGACGAAGAATGATGTCCGAGGACGAAAGAAATGTACGAGAAATGGCTATGACCTGCTGCATGAACCTCTCTACTGCTTTGACAACACCAGGAATATCGAGATTGTCTCTATCAATAACACCATCAAAGATGTTGGCAATAGAGCCTCCCCCTTTGAGAGGAACCCCCGATGTGGCGCCGAACATCCCGTGAGCATCCCGCAGTTCCCCTGACGAGACCGGAAAGCATGAGAGAAAGTCATTTAGGTTGCCGATTTCTCCAAGTGGCAACCCACGTTCCTGGAAGACTCCGAGCCCCGACCCTTCAGGATCAACGACAGCGGTCCCCCCGGCGGAAACTACATCAAATCTAATTGCGCAATTTGAATCTACATCAACATCCTCTTGGAGGATCCTCGGCTCACGAGCCTGATCGGAGCCAGCCATTCCAGACTCAGCAGCCTCCGGCCGAGGCTCCTGCAAGTCTCTCACACTCGACCTCATTCTCCGCTCTAGCGGGCATTCATCATCATCCTCTCCCTCGGTATCAGGATTCGCCTCTGAGGTTGAAGTAGCAGTTCCAGTAGTGGCTCGATGCTCGAGTGAACTGGTTTTCTTTGCTACAAGACGGACAACAAGTGCCCTGCTTTTCCTTTTCTTACTCGTGTCGGGATCCAAAGCCCCTACTTCTCCACCAGGGGGCGGCCTCATCTACATATTCTCGCCAAGACCTGCACCAGCGCAGTAACCGCAAGACGCTTTCGCTAAGGTCTAAAAAAGAAACACAAAATACAAGGCATAGGCGATAAAAGAACCTCACCATGATTCTTAGCCACCCAACGCTTCTTGGACAGGCCGGTCCAAGACCGAACGCAATATAGGAACTTTTCGTTCAACCGCCCGATCCATACTGACAAATCTGGAACCTCCTCCGGGTGCCAAGCAGTGGCTGCAGGAAGCACAAAGTGATCATTATTTCGAAAGGAAGAATAGTTGAAAAATGGCTAAGGAAAAAATTACTTACGTCGAGTATTCCACCTTTCCAGAAAGGGTATCCTCTGGGCCGGGATGATGTCCGAGGTCTTTACCCGAATAAACCTGCTCATCCATCCTTGATACTTTCCCTCGTCGACGCTCGAGAAAAAAGATTTTTTGGACCAATGACAGAGCCTTATTAAACCTCGATACAATCGAGGGATGTACATCCTGATTAGATGATTGAGGGTAAAGATCTCACCGTCAACCCCTTCGGTGAAATGGGGAAGCATCAACACTATCCTCCAAAAAGAAGGGTATATCTGACCAAGCGTAACTTGGTATCGGTCGCAGAAATCAAGGATAACCGGGTCTATCTCCAGGGGAGAGGACTCGGTAGAATTATTGGGACCTAGGGTGAATGGGTAGGTGTACACGTGAAGGAAGCCAGCCTTATAGTCAGTTATATTATCGTTGGGACGGGGAATCTCCACCCCCACTGCCTCGCTCCATCGGCAGTCCTTCCTCACCTTGCTAATATTGGTCATGACGCTAACGTATCGGGACACATGCTCGCACCGGTCTGGTGTAGATGAAGTGGCATCGACATTAAAATCCTCTGACATATCGTACGATCGAGCCCCCTTCCCCGAGGTTCGCCCACGACCCAACAAAGATTCTGAGGGTGGGGAACTCCCGAGGCGAGCAACTAGCATCAGCAGAGTCTAGTATCGTGCCTAGCCGTCCCATCCCCGTGTCTTTACATTTAATGCATTATGTACTATATTGTATTCCCTCTCCTATATAAAGGGAATCCACACTACTTTGTAAGGGGCTGTTGTTGCTCCAACTATTCTACACAAGATCAATAATATCGCTCTCTCTCTCTCTCTCTCTCTCTCTCTCTCTCTCTCTCTCTCTTTCTTCTCTCTCTCTCTCTCTTTCTTCTCTCTAACTTATTCGCTCTTACTCGCTCGAGGCTACCATTTGCATTTATTGCTTTCATACTTGTTCTTCGTTTATTGCTTGGCATTGGCCATAAAGAGCCTTCTTTGATCATATTTTAACTGTTATCCCTTTCCCGGTTACTCCCGACAGCTCGAGCTCGAGCCGCCGGGTATCGACCCCGAGTCCTTCATCGACCCGTCCGAAGCCCGGGCAGCAAGCACCTCGATTTTATTACTGCCCCGTTTTAGCTCGTATCTCATCGTTAAAACTTCATACTTTTAGCATCAACTGCTTTAACAACTAGCATAAAAATAAATCACGTATTTTTAGAGTCCCATTTATAAATTTAATTGTTATTATCATTTTCACGGTAAACAATACTATGCAAAATAAAAAAATAAGCACTAGCAGTAGTAAGATTTAACGTAATAAATTACGATTTGTAGTCAAGACTGCTTCAGGCTAAGGATAGATTTCAATGAGAGATCTTAAGCCAAGAGAGGGAGTTATTTTACATTCAGTGAAACCAGCTTCAGTGAAGAGCTTCTGCCATTCCTTCTTAGTTCTCTCTTTGGCAGCAAAAAGAATCATCATCAGCAAGTCCATGGAATGTTGTGCTCGAACAAACTCGTCGCTTTGCGTCGGATCCTCCATCACAATGTCTATAATTATCACTTTCCCTCCTTTATCCCTACTTGGAATTGACTCTTTGCATTTCTTCAGTATCTTCACACAATCTTCGTCGCTCCAGTCATGCAAAATACACTGTTCAACCATGAATAATTAAACTTGATCAGTAGATCCAGCGGATTCAAGGGGAGAAGGGAAGGAAACAACGTAATGAATGTACAAGATTTAGTTTTTACAAGTTTTCAAAAAGTTTTACAAGAACAGATCCTACCTGAAGATATAAAAGAAGAAATTTATGAACGGCAACATAAAACAAAAGAACGTTCTCAATAACTAATTATAATATACTCCCTCCCATTCACAAAAACTTTACGTAGCAAAGTTTGAATTAACACGGAGTTTAAAAAAAGAAAAAACACTTTTGAAACTTGTGACAGTCTAAAACAAGCCATAAATATTTATTAGACTTTAAAAGCTTCTCATTAAGATACAATGAGAATTTTAAGTTAAATTCTTTCCAAAATCTAGAAATTAAAACTGCTATTTTGTTGGAGTGGACAAAAAGGAAATTGTTACCACATAAATTGGAGGAAAGGGAATACATAATTTTGTTTTAGAGCTATTAGACAAGGAAATAAGCTTCTGAAGTCATATATTGCGACGAGATTCATCTAATTAATGGAACTGACATTGCACAAAAAAACACAAACTGATGGTGAGACATAATTAATGACGAGAAAAGATATAAGAAACATCAAATAACAAAAGGAAGCTACAAATTTTTACCTTGAGTAATATTGCATTAACATGAGGAATCTCATCAAACATACTTCCTCCTACAAACTCCAAGTTCCCACTTCCCTTGAGATCGGCTACAACACGAGGGAGATCAAATACAATGCATTTTATGGTAGGGTTAGCTTTGGCTATGACTGTTGCTACAGTGCCAGTTCCACCTCCTACGTCCACCAACGACTCCAACCCCTCAAATACATGTTTACACTCCTTAACAAAAACATCAGCTATCAATCTTGAATCACTAGCCATTGCATCATTGAAGTCACTTCCTTGTCTTGGTTTTTCCGTGAAATAATCCCAGAAGGATTTGCCATGAGCAGTATGAAAAGCAGTAGGGAAATCATTTTGGAACCAACTACTTAACTCAAACCATGCTTTTTGAAGGAATGGTTCATGGTTGATAAGCAAGAGTGACCTAATATTCAAGGGCTCATTCCTCACAAGAAGGCGACTAGCTGGGGTAAGAGAATAATAGTAATGATCTTTTTCATGTTGATTTAGGAAACCAGAATGAACTAAAAGCCGCAATAAAATTGGCATGGAGGAAACTTTCGAAGGATGGAGGGGAAGTTGAGATAAGAGGTCAGACAAACACATTGGCTTACCATGTTTGTAGAGGACATCAGGGATGCCCAGTTGAACTGCACATCTTACTGCTGAAGAATTTGTGAAGTCGAAAATATGGTTCCAGGTTTGAGCTTGAGCTTGGAGAAGCTCGCTGGAACTCATGACTGACATTTCTAATGAGAATTATATTGTTTTGAGTTGTCATCTAAAGCCACCAATAGCTTGTATATTTGAATACAAGTACTCTCCCCGTCCCAAATCATCTGTCATGTTTCACTTCTCCCGTCCCAAATCATCTGTTATGTTTTACTTCTCGAGAGTCCAATGACATGAAATTTGACTAATATTTTAATATTAATTTTTTCATGGTATTAATATGGGAAGAATTACAAATTATAGTGTACAGTATTATTTTTCGTATGATTTTCCGCTTGACTATTCGTAAAAGTGGATGAGAGAATGCAGGAATATAAATCTCAGTATAAATGGATGATTTCCTATACAAGTTAATCCCGTCACAAGATTGGAGGCAGGAACAGTGCCTAGAGATGATTTCTCTCTGGCTGAGATGTATATTTTTGAAAGGAAAAAATTGTCCTTATACTTGATGTGCTGCTAAGGGCATTTAATGGAAAAAATAAATAAACTATACGATGCTAATCTACTACAATCCTACTATAAACGCGTAATTTGAAATAATTTTCGGATCAATTAAACCCTAATAGATAAGGATGTAATATTTAAAAAGTGCATTATTTTGGTAATTAAATTTCCTTACTGAATTGCATTGAAATATGCTTTCTAGATCCCAATGTGAAATTTGTCCACCGGCATTGAAATACGGTTTCCAGATCAATGACAATTTTTTTAGCTAGCGTTTGGATATAGATTTGGTTGAAACTTGACAAAAGGATTTTTGAAGTTGTGTTAAAAAATAATTTTTGAAAATTGAAGTTGCATTTGAACATGCATTATATATATTTGAAAAAAAGTTTGAAGTTTTGTGAGTGGAAGATAAAATCCCTAAACCTGTTTTTGAAACTTGAAAACATTATTCAATTTTTTTTCCAAAAACTTATCATATTCAATGAAAAAATAATATTTTTTAAAAAATTGAGAAAAACATAAGTAAAATCTATAGTCAAACAAAAGCTAAATTATTTAACTAAATATGTCCTTCAAAATCTCAAGGAAGCTGTAACAGTTTTCAACTAAGCAGACAGCAATGGACATAGACACGTGATGAGAAGATTTTAAGGCCTAAAAATATCATAAATTATATATAGACCAATGAAAATCGTTTTTTGGTGCGAATTTAATAAATTACGAAGATGAAAGCTCAAACTTCAAACTAATCGTACGTTTAAGTTCTAAAATCCACCTCAGACAACCCCTCTACCTAAATTCTGTCGACGCCCTACTATTTTAAACTTTAAAAATGAAAATAGCCCCTGCAACTTGGAAATTATTGACCAGCTCCTTGTACGTATTCATATCTATCTACTATCTTATAATAAGAGAGATTTAGCAGACACTGGACGACATGTCTGCTTAGGATAGGGGGCACTAATGTCTGCTTAGGATAGGGGGCATTAATGTCTTTGACCTCCAATATTTAAGGCCCAAGAAAATGAATACGCTTTTGTGATGTCTGGTGGGCATGTGAAGACCCACAACTTCATCCCAATTTTATGGCACATGGCATATGCCAGTTCTACAAATAACATAGCTTGCTTTTACACAGGAATCTTCAACCACATTGTTTAACCAAAAATCTGAGTCTTTGGTCAAAGCTAGAAAGAAATTCGGGTTACTGATAATCAGGAGATGAAAATAAAATATTTTTGAGAATGATGATAAAACAGTAAATAGTTTTGTATTTCAGTAACATCTCAATAGTATTTCGTGTCCTTATAGATGTTGAGTCTTTCCCCTTTTATAGTTGATTCTAGGAGAAGGTATAATGCCTTTGTCTTAATGAGGCAATTATTAGCAATAAATGATATTTAAAAGAAACGTTACACAATCATTTCTATTTAATTCAAATTCTCTAACGTATTTGACATTTAATGCTGTATTTAGACTCTTTTACGTCATCAGATTCGTGTCTTCAACTTCTTCTTATCTTTGATCTTTAAACGACTCGAATAGGCACGAGACTCGTACCTATTTTAGTAACGGTCCACACCTATGTTGCCTTCTTTTCCCCCTATCTGTTGTCGCCCGTGCCTCTTGGCTATTTATTGCGTTTTGACATTTTGACCAGTCCACGTGTCATGACACGTCATCTTCAATGTTCAGACTCAGTTTTTTCCCAATACAGATAGTCCCCCCACTTTCCATTTATTTATCCATTAAATATTTGGGAAGTGGACCTTCACAAAAAGGGAATTTTTTGTTGTAATCAATGCTATGACAGTACTGACGCCCCAGTTGTCTTTTCTATTTAATGCTCTGCACACGTGTCACCTTCCGATTGGTTTTGTAATTCTGCA